CGCTCTCGGCTGCCTCGCACAACCACCACCACCACACACGACGACGACGAGGGAGTGCCGCATCTCCACGTGTCGGCTGTGGGGCGGGCTTCACACGTTGCTGGCGGTTCGCTGCGAGACATCGTCTCGTCCACAGCCAGTCCTTGGCCGCGCCCGTCTGCTGGACCCTCGCCCCCCGTCCGTCTTGGGCATGGCGCCAGCGATCGGTGGGCGTGAAGGCGGGCCGGGCGTTTCAGCAGCCAGGCGAGCCCGCCCACGGTGTAAAAAGGGCTGCGTTACGAAGTCGTCGCCCACCCTCTCCCGTGCGAATTGCCACAGCCCGTAAATCTCCGACGCCCGCACGTGCGACGCCTGGTCAAAAAGCACCTCTTCCTCTTCCATCAATCCCCCACGCCGCCTCGGTCGGCGACTTCGGCCGCTGTTTCATCCACCCACCCCCCCGGCTGCTCGCTCCCGCAGCATCAAAACTGCCGCCGCTGCACCCATCAGCCCATGCCGAACGCCCAATCTACCAGTGCATCCACGTCTCTAGACTGAGTCATTGCAGCTTTTCGCGGGGCCAACACCACGTGGCAGCCGACTTCTCCCTCCGCCTGGCTAAGGTGCGTGGGTGCATAACGGGCCGCTGGCGTGAACGACGCTTCTCGCTCGCACTGTGCACCATCCTTCTGTCTGCCTCTCTGCCTCTCTCCCGCCTCTCCGACGAAACGCTGCTGCCGTTTGCCGCCTGTTTCGACGCCGGTCCCCTGCTCCCGGTCCCATGCTCCATTTTGCATCTCGTCGTCCCCATATCTCAAACTCGGGCTGCCTCTGCTCCACCCATATTGCCGGCTTGTTAAGGCTGCCGTCTGCCAAAGCAAATCCAGATGGGGCGGCAGTAGCGCATGTCGCCCGAGTCAGAAGTGTCGGTGTGAGATCAATCTTCAGCCTTCCTCACGTGGACGAATCGACGGGACAAGCTCTTTCGCGCGTCTGGGGACCCCTCGTGGCTACATGGTTTCGTTAATGCCGGGAGAAGGATCTCACTCGAGCCCTTATTTGCGGGGGCCACCACTCGCCGATCGACGCCCGTATCGCGTCGCCAAGAATCGTTGGGACGAATGCAGGCCGAAAGCGTGCACGACTTTACCGGCTAATCCTCAAACGGCCCGTCATCGTCGTCCAGGATTCAGGGCCTCGCGGCTCACGGCGGCATCTTGAGAGCACGACTCAGTGACGAATTCCGCCAAGCGGGCCCGACGTCAAGTGTAGCGAGCCGTGATCCTCTCCATCTACCTCTGTAAAGACTCTCATGTGCCGACGTCTTCCGTCGTGAAGCCCTCACCGCTCGGCCTTGAGGCCTGGCTTGCCGCCGACACAATCCACACGGCCGGTTATGGTAAATGCTGGCGATCAACCAACTGCCCGTCGTACGACTTTGCGTGATAACGGTTGTAGATGATAAGTGATGGCTTTCAACCTAGCTGACCGATTGCTAGTGTATTGGGCCAACTCGCGCCGTCTGTGATACCTCTCGTCTGTTGTAGGTGAACATCTAGCCATTTGAACTGCTGGTACCACGTCGCCGTTGCGGCCCACGTCATTTGGGGATCAACACTTGCAGTTGGGTTATTTTTCCCACCAAAAGGTGCTTGGCCCGTTGTCGAATATGCTCAGACGAGTCCATCAAACGAACCATACGCTCTTTCGCGGTTGTGCCCCCTTGTCGTCTGTATACTGTGTATGCTGCTGCTGCCTTCACAATTCTACAACCGGCAGTGGCGGAGGCACCGTGTGCCACACTGCCACTCCGAGGGGCCGAGGGCGCACACTGACCAACAGTACACCCACGACAGCAGCCACTCATCCTGAGACTAGACGTGACCGATCGCAACAAGGGACCGGCGTTGCACCCAACACGTCCCAAAGTAGGTCGGCGAGGTGGCAAGGCACGACCCTTCGCCGGCCGACCCCAACCTACCGCCCCTCGTACAACGCTCACGGCACGAGTCGCCATGATAGCCTCGTACCAACATGGTGCTCGACTTCACAACAGGCGCGTGAAGGGGCCGTGGCAGCTTTGCACGTCGCGTTGTGCTCATCTGGATCTACTTGTACGCCTCCCTCGGACAAGTGCACGTACGCCAATCGACACGGAAACTAGACACTTCTGGCAACACCCGTGTCACTCAGCGTCCCACCAACAGCACCCAATGCAACAAACCATTCAAGATTTTGCGCGAAACTCAACAATCTCTGTTACGCTTTTTTAGCAGTGTGGCCATGTATTCATTCGCTATTAACTTCAGTAGGTGCGAGCATTGCGCATGAGCATGCTACATTCCTGCTTCTTCTAACCGTCTCACCACACCTCGCCGTGGACGCCACTTTACTGCAACATTGCCATCCATGTGTCATCAATCCTCCGTACTTCTAGGGCACTGGCTCCTGGCTACATGGTGCGGACTCGAGGGTATATACTACTAACATTCGTGCGTCCACTATGCCAGGGAACGCTCCTCTGCGAACCAACACCCCCACCCCGACCCATCGAGTAACCGCATGATGCCGCTGTTCCTACGCCTCATCTCATCTCATCTCATCACTTTATCTTGTCCTCTGACACGATCTTTTCCCAGTAAATCCTCGATCCCTCATCCTTCGCCTGTGCCACATTTCAGTCCGACTCCGTCCCATCGCCGGATACGAGGCACGGCCCTCATTTCTCCAATCGCCAGGTTTTTTTTTCAAAAGACCCAACATGATGCATCAACTGGCTCGCGTGTGCCGGCGGAAGGAGGAGGCTGACCGAGGACTAAAGAATGGGACCTGAGCAAGCGTTGGCTCCGTCGCCCCGGCCTCGGGTTCCCCGGCAGGTTAGCCGGGAGTTGGGTTGGAGTAAACATGATGCTGAAAAAGCAAAAGGATTCTTCGCTAAGTGCTGTGGCGCGGTCCGGCGTGGGATTGTTGTGGGATCTTGAGTTCCAAGGGTCGAGTGCAGTGGAGTCTGGGACTGAATGCTGGCTTGGTGCATTTCTGGAAGTGGATCTAGTGATGTGGTCGCATTCACCAATGAATATCAGATGCATCGTAAGCCTTTGTATGCACAGATTCCTTCGTCTTGACTGCGTTTTCGAAACTAGTATCAATTTCTCGGTTCACCAAGAGCTCCTGCTTGTGAGTGTTCACTCGTAGCTCGCGCCTAGAAGAATTGATGTTGAGTTTCGAGCTTCTAACAAAGGGCAATTTGCGTGATGATTGCAATCTAACACATTACTTTGAATGATGACCGTGACTCCTTGTAAATAGTTGTTTATACAATGAACAGCCCTGGTAGACAGTTAGTACATGATGATTTCCTCTGACAGCGACTCAATACATGCCGTGATGACCCCATATTCATGCAATGCTAAAGTCCAACGCCAGCACCTTGATTGAAATTGTTGGTCGTGAACCATCATTCACCTAGATCTAGCTTCACTCCCGCCCTACGTGACACTTGGTTTCCTCCTAGTTGACCGAATGGAGTTGGAAGAGTCGCCATATGGGTCCTCGGCCTCCAAGTATATGGGGTGGTTGGACACAAAGGCAGCCAGGCCAAATGCCGATGTGAGCGTGTCAGCAAAGGCAACGAACCTCAAGGACCAAGCTGGCTAACCATGGTGGTATTCGTGAACAGGATGGGCCATGGCGACGCCTTGGAAGTTGAGGAGCTTTGATGCAGTTGTCGTGAGTATGGGCCATCTCGAGATTCGTGTTCATTTACGGCGCCCGACGCAATGATCCCATCCTTCGGGGCCAGTGTCGGGATGGTCGTCGATATCGTTAGGTGATTATGGAAGAGAGATGTTCGTACTGCTTGGGAGGCAGCGGCGATGGTCTACCATCACTCAATCGCTAACTGTGGCGTGGTGGTGACAGCTGTATCACCACTCGACGGCTTGGTAACTGTTGCATGCGACTTGAAAATCTCTCCTTCGAAATCATAATGGGTGGTTGTCGTGATCCATGCTGCCAGCGTGTGCCGAGACGCTCCCCAAAGGCCTCCTTGTGGCGGATATGTTTGAAGTATGTATGGCTGGAGTCAGACCCACTGGAACTTCAGGTAGGTCACTTGAGCTTTTTGGTCGTTTGGACTGTGCCAGTAGCTCAGCCCGCAGTGAGGTGTTTGTTGCATGCGCGAGGCGAATTTGCTTCTGCTCAAGCAAATCTGAATTTTCTTCATGTCTCTTGAAAGCTCGATTCTGAGCAGAATGTCGGGGCTCCCGAATCTAATACTGTGGCCATAGGATTGCAATGCGCGATTGATAGTCGTTCTTTCATACTGATGTAGTTCTTTCGTTGTCGTCGGTAGGCCGACAAATGTCCGAAGCTTGAATTTCGCAGGTCGACTTTTAAGGTTTTCAAATCCGTTGACATGGCCAAATCTCTCTTTATATAAAACATCTGGGCCCGATCGTTTATCCTGTTCGCTCCGCCAACTGCATGTTGAAGTGCCTTCTCCTCCAACAAGTGCGCGATACTGAGGGAGCGAAAGATGCCGGCGCTGGATATGCGCAAGTCGAACCGAGGGGCCCGTGCACCCACAATCCACCACCCCTATTTGGGCGTCGATCCAGACGACACCTCGCCCAATGCCACCACAATTGTTCATCATTTGTCTCTTCGGGTCAATAGTTGGTTTAGAGGCGCATTCATCGAAAACAACATCGAAAACAGCATCAAAATCTGGCCAGCCGCTACACCAAAGCCCTCACTGATCGGATGCAGCCCAACATCCGGAGCTGTAGCAGCCAGGCTTCGAGAGTGGACCATATCCTAGGACTGATCTTCATCCATGTACGTCGCACGGGAGCGAATTCTGAGAAGCTCTGTGAAGAAAAGTCGCCGCTGGAGAAATAGGGAAATTGGAGAGAAAACCGACGGGTGCTTCGTTCTGGGACCGGTTGCGAAGGCTTCTTCTTTTGTTCAAGAATCGAAATAAGGCGATACAGAAGCAGCAAGAAAGAGTTTTGGAGTAATACACTGTAGGGGGAGTCGAACCACCTTTCTTCTGCTTTGAGAGAGCAGATGTCCTACCGCTGGACGAACAATGTAAAACCCAGTTGGAAGCTGCAGGCCAAGCCAAAGGTCGCTATCTGGGAGAGGGCTGTGGGGGGGCTGCAGGCCGATGCCAGAGGTCGCCTTGGGGTAAAGATGGATTTTTTCCCTATACCTGGGGAATGGTTTCGCTTTCTTCTGCGGGATTTTTACCCAACGCCTGGGGAATGATTTCGCTCTCTTCTGCGTTCAGGAAGGGTGTCGAGTTGGCGGCGAGTAACATGAGGATGGCCAGGAAGCTTCAACGGGCGCAAGTGCTTTCTCCCCGAGGGCTACGACACAGCGCCGACGGTACTTTCCTGGTCCACGGGCAGTTGCCACGTCGAGGAACGTTCCCACGGGTCGGCTTAATCTTGCCTGGGGGCAGCACTGGGGCTGGCTTCCCCATCTTGAGCATTCGCTCCACCGACTGTGGGCTGAGGGAAATCGGCCCGCCGAAACCGAAATCCTCCAGGTACTTGACCTCGATTTTGTAGGCCTGCCCTCGCTGCCAGTTGACGAAAGTCGGCTTCGAGAAGGAACGAGAGCCGGGCAGCAAGGTGAGGGCCTCTGTGTTGTTGTGCGCAACAACGTCGGCGTGTTCGACCATCCGGTAAGTATCCTGGCGGTCGGCACGCTTGTGCCCGATTCCTCTTCCGCCAAAACTCGTGCACCCGCGAATCCACACCACCTCCTCGCCCTCGCAGATTTCTTTGCCGAGCACCACGGCCGGATGTGAAAAAAGGCCGGTGTTGGTACCCACGGAGCGAAGGGCGATCGAATCCGGCTTGACGTCGTGAAGCTCTGTCAGCCAGTAAACGCCACCGGCCTCGATCTGGTTGTATTGGGGACCAGACGCCGGTGGGAGGTTGGAGGAGGACGAGGACGGCGGGGATGAGGATGCCGTCCTCCAAGAAGGTATTGCCTCTGAATGGCAGTATTTCAAAGATGCCTCGACGGGATGAGGGGCCGTCGAGGCATTGTCGTGTTGTGGGTTGGAGAGTAAACACTCCCCAAGGACGATGAGTGTGTTACTCTCTGGAAGTTGGTGAGACATGATGAGAAGAACTGGATATTGGGAAGAAGAGAGATGGATGGAGGGAAGAAACTCACAGAAGAGAAACGAGGGTTTTATTTCTCCCAGCAATATTCGGATCGTTAACAGCCTCGCTGGTTGGGAAATTTCCAGTGAGGCCATCTCCATCGAGAACCGAAGGTCGAGACGTGGTGGGAACGACAAAGTGGTGAGAATGGCACATGCAAACTATTCACAGGTTCGAGTACCCCCGGGTGCCGCTTCCACAAACGCCCCGTGGCAGCTTCGAGCATCAACACTAGCTGGACTTGTACCTCCCAACCAGCGAGACTGGTAACGATCTTAACTGGGCAAGTGCGAGTACTCGCCGGTGCCGCTTCCACAAACGCCCCATAGCAGCTTCGAGCATCAATGCTAGCTGGACTTGCCCAGTTACCATCTGTCCATGATCCCCAGCAAGGAGAGCACCACCGGCATCGGACAATAAGCGAAAGAGAAGCGACAACGAGATGATTGTGGCGTAAAGATCTGGGCTTGGAATGATAGATACGGCTAAAGGCCATGCATTACCATCTCTCAAGCCGTACGCTTCTGCGAGATTTTGTGCTCGTCTGTGGCTATCAATTTCCCAGGTTGCATTCACGCATTTACCCTGCATGTCCTGTAGTGAGCCAAAAATAATAATTTCAGATTGATCCTTGGATCGGCCATGCGCATCACATCAAAAAATGGAAGAGTCACCATTGAAGAAGCATTGATCAAAGGTCGGCCGTATGCTGACAACATGAGCATAGACACCTACTCGGCTAGTTTGCCATCTCAACTTCTTGCAGGAGTCCCGGGGTACTATTTACATGCAGAAGAGCAATTTACGTGTACGTACAGGCTGGGCGTATTGGACGATGAGCGGAGCTTGGATTCTTCATAGAGTTCTCATGACTCTGCTGCTGCATTTCTCGTTATGTCATCCAGTTGTTGAGGGCAGGAGCAGAAGTGCCAAGCCAGCAAACGGACGCACTCCCGAGTCCATCCTATCAAGAAATTTGATAGATTTCAAGAGCTGCGGAAATTTAAGAGAGAATTGATCTGGTAAAAAACCTGGCTATGACTCAAAACTCGAAGGTGATTAAAATTCTAGTTATTTATAACGTAATATTTGATACTAAGGACCAAAGTCACAAATATCGATCATCCTAACTCTCGAAGGAACTCCCCTCTCAAAAAAATAACACCCGCCGCTTTCAAATCCCCCAACGTTTTCGCGAAGAGCCTTGTCAGAAGCGGGGGGTCGAGTTTCGCCGCAAGAAATTAGCGCAGATATTCATCAATGGCTCTTTGGTGATTTCGCCATGTATGAGGAGACCACACGAAATCATTTCTGGTTGCAAGCCAAGGACAAGGTAACAAAAATAAATCCGAGTCGACGCAGACTGACAGTGCACTTCGGCTGCACGGGGAGCGGAGCAATGAGCTGACATGATGGATAGGGAGCGTGAGTTGCTTCGTTACCAGACTCCAACTCCCAACCAAAAAAGGAAACATGGGAAGGATCGCCGAAGGGCCTTCACCAAGGACATCTGTCTGCATGGGCGGCGACTTCCCGACAACAATGCTTTCCCAACCGAGGGACCTTTTGGGGAGGATGCTAGTGTTGAAAAAATGTATGATGGTCAACATTCTTTCTCCTTCTTCGGTGTTCTTCGCCTGGACCACTGCTAAATGATGGTCAACAATTCATCCTCTTGGAAAGACTGTTGCCCGATGTGGAAGGGACTAAGCTCGGCTATATAGATTCGAGCCACATATGGATTCGAGCCACCCCACCAAAACACGACACCCGCACAAAAGACGCGATTTCTCTCCACAACACTATTCAATATGGATGCCCGTGAGCAAGCTATACAATCAGCTATTAGCGATCTTAATGCAGGTCTTTATCCTAGCCAGCGCGCTGCGGCTAAGGCATACGGCATCCCTCGACCTACTCTCTCTGCGCGTATACGCGGCGCGACTGACAGCCGCACCAGCCATCAACACCAGCAGAGGCTAACTCCTCTACAAGAGGATTTTCTTGTAGACTGGATCCT